CGTATCTACTAGTATATATATATATATATATATATATATATATAATGCATATATATATAAAATTATATACTAATATTATACATATATAGTATGTTAATATATTATACATAATACTATACAAAAATTATAGAATAAGCACCTAATAATTTAATATGAACGTTTCTTAACGTAAGTCTTAATATAAATCTGATGAACAATTCAAATTTTTGCTGCGATGATGATTCAAGCGATGATTAATAATATAATGTGCCTTGATTATTCTATGAGATTAATACTAATTACTCTATACGTACAGCGATCGTCTTAAGTCACAAGTCAGGAATTACGAAAAGTTATATAAAACGACGCCAATCGATATCGCTGCGTCGATGCAGCTTTAAAGGATAATAACTTATTTGAGAAGATAACTGTCTATATGACGAATTAGATCCTGAAATCTACGAATTCAACGTAAAGGTAACTCAAACAGTTTATAAAAAAAATTATATATCATTCTATTAAAAAACTATAAGTTACATACAACAATTTACAATATAAGTACTATAGTATTTTTATAGTTCTACAATATTTTGATACTTGTTGCGTTAAAAAAAAAAGAAAATTAAGACTTAAAATATATTCTCAATTACTCGCAGAAATGAAAAAAAGATTGTAATAGATAAACGAAGGTATATACATACAAACCTTGGCATTGCGCTTTTTCCTACGTATACATAAATTATATTCTTTGAAATATATTTAATATATATTTTTAAAAGTTTGTTAGGAAAGATCAGCAGACTGTGTGAACGAAGCTCGAAGCTGTCCGACGAGTAGTTCATCCCTTACTTGAATTGGACAGCTCCATTCTAGCATAGAGTTCCTCTAATAAACGTCTAGACAGTAACTACCTTTCCTTGCAATTGGCGTAGCCACATCGTCGCACCGTTGCATCGTTTGGCCGTCGCTTCGTAACGGTCGTCCGACGTTGGGATACATCGCCGTCCGGATAGCCAATTAAAAATGACGCGAAATACGAATTGTCCGTCGTTCGTTCGTTCCCTGCTCCTCCGCAAACGTCCATTTCTTCTCGACAGACACTTTTTGTTTACCGCTCGTTGTCAGTATCAATCGAGCTCCGCAAGGTGAAAAAAAATGCGTATTTTCGATCGATAAAAGACACTTCTCACATGTTTATTATTTCATAAAGAATTTATTAGCTGTATGCAAAGTTTTCTCTGTTACATAGAATATCGCCTACCTATAATACAAAGAAATAAAATCATCGATAATAAGCGGCTACAAGCTTTGACTACAAGTCTTTTAATTTAAAGTTAAGCTAAGGATAGGAGATAAGAATTAAGAGTGAGATTAACTTAATTTGCATCTTCAAAAATCAATACATCACGGTCATCATAATTTAAGGATAATTAACGAAACTTATTAACGATACTTGAGTTATCTCTGCGATGCCGCTAATGCAACCCTAAAATAAATCAGACGTTCCCCCCAACGTTGTAACGTGATTCCGGCCGCATGGGGTAAATTTGCGCGGCAACTCCGGTTCCGAAACTGTCCGTTTGTGACCGAAACTGTCCCTTAAGTCGTAATCCTCCCTTAGCGAACTCCGCCAGCGAAGCGACCCGCTAGCTTGGGCCGCCACTCTAACGCTATTTATTAATATTATTATTATCCTATTGTATTAAGTTTAAAGTGGTCAACGCAGTCCTCGACGATATTCATCCTCGACGGAAGTCCCTGAGCGATGGATTTACAAAGTGGATGTACAAAGTCACGATGATGATTCGATGATCGAAGTACGCGTGCGATTGCGTGCAGAACCGTTGTGGGTAGATCTCAGGCCGGATGTAACGTTCGCATCTGCGGATGATGATGGAGGCACAGGCACAGCGCGACGAGTATCACCAGCAGTAACGAGCTGCCGTTGCTGGTGGCGCTGGATTCGTCGTAGTCCGCCACATCGTCGCCGCCGTTCTCCTTACGACCTCGTAGTTTCAAATCCACGAGAGCAAAGATAGTTCAGAAGTATGATTAAAACGATTCTATTAAGAGAGAAAACTAAAAGTTCGCCTTCGCGTTTGAAAACAATTTATTTCCGCGACAAAGAACCGAAACTCTTTATATTTTTGCGGATATCCGCGATATTATTGGAAAGAAATAAGGAAAGCACACGCTGACACGCGATTATCTTTGTTGAAATTAAATTTTCATGTTTTATATATACCTCGTTCCTTTAGCATATCTTGATTTCCCTCCAGGATGTTATTGTTCCCTGAATTATACCTCGCTTTACCTGCAAACAAAGTAAGATATTGAACGATATCGTTCCTTGAAGCAAAGTTTATAATTTGATATTGTCAATATTGTCCGAATCAATATTTACGAATATTTTTATTCATAAACTATAATTACATGGATATTCCGTCTATTCATTTTTATCCAGCGTCATCAAAGCTTTTTATTTCGATATTAACTTTATTAATTGACAATTGTTAAATAAATTTATATCCCAATTAGCAGTATTTATTTAATAACTTATGTAAACTTTTGTCTTACGTAAACATGAGCAAATCAATTTTCCTTCTACGAATTTGCGAATGAAAGATTATACAATTAAGATTATTCCGATTATTTCAATTGTTTTCTCATTCTGTTTTCTTTGATTAATTGGTGCCCGTTGAAGGTCTTTAAAGTAATTTGTTTCGCGACGTGGTATTTGGTTTCGGATGGTACGTCACGAGACTACTAATGACGATGGTTGTTAAATCAATTGCCAGCGAAGTAGCAATGACAGTAAGCACGAATATAGAAAACGATTCACGAGATGGGTTTACATGAACTAAATATATCCGATTTAATGAATACAAATTGTGCTCGCGCACAACATATCGAATAATAATTTTGTAAATTTCAATATTTTTTATACATAAAAAAAATAATAGCTTCTGCTCTCCGAGTTTATTCCTTTTGATAAAAAAAAAATGCGGTCAAATTTACGCTAAGCCGCGGCGATTTTTAAACAACGATGAAAAAAAGAACGACGAGGTAAATGCTCTGTCACTATTGGAAAAGCGATCTAGCGTTTTGCTCACGGTGGGAGCGCTAGTTCGTTTGTCTCCGTGAAAAATGCGGCTCGGACCTGTGTTTTCTCAAGTAATGAAAAGAACGAATGAGAACGGAGCCGTTGGTACTCGATAGAGCAAGCTCGGCGCAGATTGTGGAAGGGCTTACGGCATGACCAACGTGTTTGCCTCCACGTTGTTAAGTTTCTGCGGGGAGTTTCAAAGAAGCGTCGTGTCGTTACTTTCGCGTGTACGAAAGAATTGACTCACAGCTCTATCTCTCTCTACCCCTCCCTTTAATGCTTTTAACTAAAAAAAAAAAAAAAAAAAAATGCATGTACATTAACCACTCGTGACGTGAGACGAAAATAAAAATAGAAGCTAAACCCCATTAAATGTTAATAACCGGACATGCTAAATCCGCTTTACCCTTAACACAGACATTAATAATACCATTTCAATTATCCATTATCCACCGAGAGATCGTATTGACATTGTTTTGCACATTTAACTGGAAATGCCCGTATCAGAGCGCGTGTATATTTAAGCGTACATGTGGCAAGGTGGAAAGAGTTCAATAAAATTGAACGGTGAAACCGGTCTCCATAAATCTTCCATCGTGCAATGCAACGTCGCCTCCCAATCTGTTGGCATCAAAATATTTTGCATATATCGATTTCCGGTCGCCGGGCAAACGGGAAGTCGGACCGAAGACGGGTCAATAATAAATCCCGGATTTTTCATTATGATGGCGCGGAAGATACTCGATGAAATATGAAAACGAGTTGCCTTTACGAGCAGCTCGCGCTGACATCATTTCGTGCACCGATTATTTATTGCTGCTACTAGCAACGCGCGGCCTTTGCGCTACTAATTATGGTAATTTCTATGCACGGTACAATCGTATAATCGGTCCAAAAATAGCGTTTCAATGCGGATAAAACGAAAATACGAAAATCTGGAATGCCGTACAAAGATGATAACGTTATAACGAACTGATTTACCGTTAGCCACCACATGTGTCCTAAATTAATTCGTGTTTATATTACATTTATATCCTGGGCTATCTTGGGTAGTACGGCGACTGCATAAAGACTCACGATGAAATCGTATTCACGGGCGAGAGGAGTTCGCGTTGCCGTAAAAACATCGATTAGCCATAAAACGAAGACGGGGCGAGATGTTTAAAGTTTTCCCGTTGCGAAATGAACCATTAAAGCGGCGAGCGAAGACTCTCAAGCGCCTTGGAGCTATATCGCGACCGTCGAGAATGCCCTAAAGCACGTGCTTCAAAGGCTGGGTTTTATATCGGCGTTTTTCATCCTGATATAGTACGCATACACACCGGTTATATTACATTATAACAGCACGGTCAAGAAGACACGCGACAGTGCCTTAACGCCAAGTATATTGAAAAACTTTTTATTCTAATTTAATTATCTGCGAAATCATTGAAATTGACAGTCGAGATCGAGATTTGCGAGATAAACGAAAATATCGATTCTCGAGAGAGCTTTAGATCGGAATTAGAATTTACAAAAATGTCAAACATGGACGAATATATCGCTCCTTTGTGCGATATTTCGACGATGAATATATTTTGCGGCAGAAAGAGAAAAAGCCTAACGTAGATAACAAAATACTTTACGTTCGCTTAGTTAATACTCGGGCAAAGCACAACGAAATACAGCGAAGCACGGCACGGCGCACTGACATGTAATTTACCATCTCCTTTGAGGGATGTATTGTTCCACAAAGCTCTTCTCGTATTATTATCTCTTTGAATACATCAACTCGAAATACCGTGCTGAAAGAGAGAGAGAGAGAGAGAGAGAGAGAGAGAGAGAGAGAGAGAGAGAGAGAGAGAGAGAGAGAGAGAGAGAGAGAGAGAGAGAG